TCTCTAGGCAAGTACTAAATTTTTTTTTTTTCCAGAGCAAAAAGGACTCCTATACAACCAACAGCAGATAGACACCACTTGTTTACTACAAAAAATTATGTTCTAGATGGTAGACCAGCCACAGTTCTTTCTTCCTGGCACATCACTGTAGGAAAAAATGGTAATCTGGCTGCAGATGTGACTGCACAGTTGGTCCTCACTAGTAAAGGGAGGATTAGACTTTGTAGAGTTGGCTGCAAGGTCTGTGCTTATTCTCAGCAAGGAGCAAGGAAGTTAGCGAGAAGAGTAATCTGTAGGAGAGCTGGCTCCCTCCTCTGCATTTTCCAAAGTCAGTAAACTCTGTGCAGACTTGACCACAGATATGTTGAGAAAGTTTGAACTCTAAAACTCGAAGGCTGCAATTTAGCCATACTCGAAAAACACAAATAATGTGTTGGGAAACAAGAAGAGCAAAGCCTGAACTTCAGGCACCTTCATGTGAGTCCTGGATAACTGGGGAATGAATGAGAGAAAAAATCAATAAGCTTTCCACCCTGTTTGTTGTGTCTCATCACAAAGAAAACCTGTGGGACACAAGTCCAAGAGCAGAACTGTCTGGTGAAGGACACATGAAACAGATAAAACTATGGCAAACCACCTGTATGATCACCAGCATGACTCCTGGAGAGCTCCCACAGGCACACAGGCTGCTTCTCCCTTCCTAGATTCCTTCCTCGCCCCCTGCCTCACTAGCCACCTTCACAAGCCAGTGCCTGAACAAGGGAACCACTGGTGCACATTCTCCCTCTGTCTAGGTGATGTGTGAGCACAGTTGTATGAGGAAGAAAATCTCTTCTTTCTGGTCTCCACTGAAAAAATGGGGAAAAAGGGGGAGTTCTGGTGATTTTTACTAGTTTGTGCTTCTCCCTGTTCAGAGCTGTTACTTCCACTGTCTGCATACCTCAGGTTCCATAAGGCCTTGTTCACATCCCTCTCTGAACAGAAATCCAGTCATTTGCCCCATTTTTCTGGAAACCTCCCAGCACTAAGCTCCCACTTGGTAGGTAATTCAAAGACAAACCATAAGCAAAGTCACCAACAGCTTTGATGCAAAGCTGCTCCATGTATCTAGTTTTCATAAAAGGATTTTGACTGGGTTTCTGCCCCTTGCCTGGATCCCAACCCTAAAGCTGCCTGCACCACACATCTGCTGCAGGGGAAGCTGGGCAGATGCTCTGCTGCAAATCAAGGGAACGTGCCTCCTGCTTCTCACAAGAGAAGGTTATTTTTAAAATGTGCTATGGGAAGTATTTGAATACAGACAACACTGAGGCCTTTTAGAGAGCTGCTTACAGAGCAGATTCCTCATCCTCTGTCTAATCATTTCTATTTCATGGCTGACTGATTAGTCCCCAGTTTCCATGCTGTTGTGCCTCATAGTCAAGGGGCAAGAAATGCATAAAATAGTGGGTATAAAGCAGAAAGTTTTGAATCTAGAAAAATGCAACGGCTTTAAACAAAATTGAGCTCAGCCTAAGCCATACTTCTGGCATTACAGGACTCCTACACTTTTTTTTCCTCTGACTTTCAGTACTTAAGACTGGGGTCTCTGTCAGTCAGTTTAACATTCTGCCTGGAAGCTTTACAGCCCAAGTAAGAATGGCAGATGCATGCCAGAAGGGGACTACAGACTGATGGCTAAGGCAGGGACTGAATCTGTGTATTTTCACCCCAATCCAAGCTTGTCCCCTAGGCACTGGGTGTGAATTTTATTGCTATGTCTAATAGACTGAATAGACCCTGTGGTCCAAAAAAATGCAAATTGTGGCAAAAATCCTCTCTCTACTCTGTAGGTTGATCTATCTATGAAATACTTGAAATAAAAGTTATTCTTATTTATCCTTGTAACAAAACAGAAAATGTTGGTTTACAATGCCATTTTGTACACATATTGCTGTTTTTATGATGTAAAATGGATCCTGTCTGGTTAACATCAAATGCATTTTGGTATATTCCTATGTCTTGATGTGACTATCTCCACCACCAGGAGCTCACTTGCTGACACAGAGGCAGCACTGGTATTCTGGCTGTTTGCAGTTTTTCGGTGCATGTGTTGAACCACGATTACTTCAAAAGGACAAACTGAAAAGCTTGTTTTTTCCATTCCTACACTTATTATTCCCCAAGTTTATTTTAGAAGACGGAATGTAACAAACTTCCTTAATCCTTGTCTCTGTGGGAGGCAGAGAGAGCAGGATAGGCTTTGTAGGTTTCAGCTTCTTTTAAACCCACTATGGTTTTTTTCTGTCAGTGATCTCTTTTCCCATCAGGGTCTTTCTTTCATTAGGTTAGGTTGTGGACACCAGAATTCTGACTTGCTTGGGAGCAATGACTCATCCTCAGAAGGTCTGGTTGCTTTGGGGACTTCTCCTGTTGACATACGCAATGAACTGTGATGCAGGGCTGTTCATGAGCTCTGGCATTCCCTGTCTACTCAGCTGCTCCTCCTCTTTAAAATCATCCATTTTAAAGGCAGTTTTGTACCATTAGGTACACAGATTATTTTTTCTAAACAAATAATAATTTTATGCCTTTTCATTTTCATATGGCTCCTTAAATATACAGGCTGCTGTGACAATTCTTAGCATCGATCCAGCAATATGACCATGGCTTGTCATATTCAGGACCTTCAAATTGTGTTGAAGTCTGGAATTTGAATCAAGACCTTGTTAAATTGTCTGCACATAGCATGAATCATTTTATAGATATGCATTCAGGATCCAGAGCTCACCTCTTGATTCTCTGGAAACAATCGTGTATTTTTCTTTTTCAAGAATGGTCTTCATTACAACAAACATGGTGAATGGCACACACTCTGACACTGCTGGCCATTAAGCAAGGCACTTAGTGGCTTAGTCACCTACTAGGACTGGGCAGCTCCCATTTTCCCTAGGGTCAGACAAACCCAGATGACAGCACCCTCAATTTTCACTTTGCAGTGGTGTATTCCCCTCTCCATCTTTCCAGGCTGCAGAGCTTGTTGGGCCTTGGCTTTGGAAACACCACCTGAGCTCAGCTCTTTTCAAGCTTACCAGAAACACTGTCTGCTCCCAGGAATTACTAAAAATCTGCTGTTTTCCTTATAATCACCCTTGGAAAATATCCCTCCTGCCTGAATGGCACAACATTCCTGCTCTCGCACCTTCGGAGAAAGTGCTGACCCAAATGCGGCCAAGATGAAACATTGTTATGACTAAAGCCCGCTCTCTTGCAAGCCTATAGACAGCAGCCCAAAAAGGGCCCTTTGAGCTCTCCTGGACTGCAGCAAGCTACCACCAACAACCACCAACATGCCTCTCAGAGCCTCACGCACGGAGGATCACTGAAACAAGCTGTATCCTGGGCCAATATGCAGACTCCTCAAGGCCCAATCCTTCGCCCATTAGGAAGTGCAAAAGCATCCAAAGTGAGTATTTCATTGACCTCTGGGGGGAATTCTTCACAGGCACCTTGCTTGCACAGACTCTTCCTCTCTGTGTGCGTGCCCCTGTGCATATGCTGCAGTAAATGTGAGAGAAATACTGCTTTCTTACACGTCTAAGTACCTTGGGTGTCTAAGTAAATTAAGCTAGTGAATAAAGTTAGGTTATAGTTATAAACTTACTTAAATGCTAAATTGTTAAACATAAGTTATAAGCTAAGTGTTGCTAAGTGTTGTTCTATTGAGTTGCTAACTTCGAAGTTATAAATTAGGTTAAATGCTCTTCAGTGTTATTCTCAGTAAACTGCTAAGGTTAAGTAATAAATTAAATTTAAGCTATAAGTTAGGTATAAGTGTTCTTCCTATGTTAAATTGTTAGGTTTAAGGTATAAGTTAAGTACTGTTAAGTTGGAGTGTTGTTAAACTTTCAGGCCCTGCTCCTTTTTATCCTTGCCTGCACTGTCTTTTGTCACACACACATATCTAAGCACATACACACACCCCTAGACAGTTCTCAGTTCATTTCTGTTTTGATTGCCTGAATTTTGTTTGGTTTTGTTGTTGTTTGTTTTCCCTTGTTGTGCCTTGGCTGTCCTGTAAGTAGTAGAGTGAATCTTGCCAATAAACTTGTCATGCTTTGTCACTTAATATTAAATCTGACTTTTGCTCATACCCTTGCCGATGACTTTTTAAGTGATCTCAAACACTCACGTTCGTAACACATGTTGATTGTACAAATTTGTCCGTATAAATTCTTTTTCTACAAGAAAACATATTTCTGTGATATTTTTGACCAAAGTGACTTCAAGCAAAAATCTCCATCGACCCTGACCTGTCAAAACAGTCAAACTGATTTATAAATCAAAACAAAAAAATCTAGGCAAGGGCACAGTTAGATTTTGCTTAGCTTATCATCTTTTGAAGGAAGGAAAAGCACCAAAGAGAACAAAACAGAACAAGGACACAAATCCAGCCGCCACCAGAATCTCTGATTTTGCACCCGCCAGGCTTAGGGAGGGCGATTTGGTTTGTGACATCTCCCCGCCCTGCCTCTGTGCGTGCCTCGGGGAAGGAAAATCTTTCCGACGGTGTTACACAAGGTCACGCACTCATCCCCCCGCTCCCGGCCCCGTCCCGGCTGCAGAGCGGGCAGCGGCACACAGCGCGGCGGGACCCCCGCCCGGAGCGCCCCGGGACAGCGCGGCCGGCCCGACACGGGGCCAGCCCGACACGGGGCCAGCTCCCCCGGACAGCGCAGCCAGCCCGACACGGGGCCAGCCCCCCGGACAGCCCGACACGGGGCCAGCCCCGCTCCGAGCCAAGAGCTCCGCAGGACTGCCCTGGCCGCTGCCCGCCTCTCTCCTGCCCACTCCGCCTTTTCTTAAAAAAAACACCAAAAACCCGATCAGCCCCCGTCCCGTTCCCTGCTGCAGCAGGTGGAGGGATGTTCGCGGGCATCAGCCGTCCTGACAGCGCCCGCGTATCCTGCCTCGGCAGGACTCGGTATCGCCCCCCGCGACGCCCCGCCTCGGCCCCTCACCTTAACCACGTCGTCGTTGAGGTGCTTGGGGTCTCGGTTGACCAGGTCGATCTCTTTGGTGTGCACGTCGTGCACCGCCTTTTCGCTCAGCTCATCTGCCATCATCTTGTTGTTGGGCTTGTAGATGTTGCCCTGCTCCCGGACGGGCGCCGTGTACAGAAAGCCCTGCGGGGAGCAGAGGGAGCGCGGGCGGGCGGGGAGAGCCCAGTGAGGCGGGGAGGGCAGGGCCGGGCCGGGCCGGGCCGGTCCGCGCAGGAGGGCGGGCTGGGGCTGGGGAGGCGGCCCCGGTCCCGCGGGCAGCGGGATGCAGGCTGCGGGCCGGCCTCGCCCGGCTATTTAACCGCGGCCGCGGGGCGCGCACCACACCACACCACACCCCCGCCGTGCCAGGCGCCGGCTCCCGCTCCCGCCGCCAGGCGGCCCCGGCCCCGCGGCGTTGCCCCAGGGCGGAGCGAGCGGCCCCACTCGCGGGTGTGGCCCCGCGGGCAGGGCACGGAGCGCCCGGGGCTCCCCGCGCAGCGCCCTCCCCACACCGCCCTCGCCGCGCTGCCCGCGCCCGACCGCCCCGCTGCGCGGACCTGAGCGCGGAGCCCGCACCGCCCTGTCCTCGCTGTACCTGCCCCCTCCCTATACCGCCCTTCGTGCAGGACCATCACCGTACCCTCTCCATCCCGGTGCTCTGGCCGTAGAGCTCTCCATACACCGCTCTCCCCGCACGGCAGCCAGCAGCCCCCCTCCCCGTGCCCCGCCGGGGACGAGCGCCCCGGCTCGCCCTGCCCGCTGTCCCTGCCCGCAGGTGCCCGGCCGTCCGCCCTCCTGCCGCCGAGCCGCCCCTCGCCCCGCTCCTCCGACGGCTCAGGGGGCTTGCAGGTAGCCGCTGCAGGGAGCTGGCGGCGGGGCAGCATCCCGGCCCCATGCCCCGGTGGTCCTACCTCCGAGTCTACGTATTTGGTGCCGGACATGCTGCCGCGGGCTGCTGACGGCTCTGCCGCGAGTTACTTTGCCCTGTGACTTGCAGGAGCGGAGGCAGGAAGATTCCGCTCTGCGGAGCGGCCGGCCGGGGGAGGTAGCTGCGAGGAGAGGGCTGGCCGCCGGCCAGGGCGGCTGCCTGCCTCCGGCTGGGGTGGATGACAGCGGCGGGACGGCCCCGCACACGGCAGGGCGGCCGGGGGTGGGAGGGGAAAAGAGCCCTGCCCCGGCAACCTGGGAGCTGGCGGGCCCGGTCCCGGATGCTTGTGCCACGCCGGGCGGGGACAGGGGCTCGACAGGGAGAGGGACAGGGTCCCGTCCGCGTCATCCGCCCCGTCCCGGCTGCCCACGACCCCCGGGTCAGGGGGTCCCCGCCGCTGCGTGCCAGTGCCGGGGTGACAGTGGCTGCGTGCGGCAGAGCCACCTGGGCAAGATGGGAGGGGGAAGGAAGCAGTGAGGAGATGGAAAACTTTAGTTGTGTTCAGCCTGCAGAGCGAGCGAGGCGTTTGCCGGGCTCCCCCCTCCCGGCATTGACAATAGTTTACACAGAAGCATCGCTGCTCCAGGAACAATTGTGGAAACTTGGATATTCTTAGGATGAAGAAAAAGAGATTTTTCTGAACTGGTTCATCTCAAAACTATGCAAATATTTAACAGTTCTGCACTTTAACACTGCTCTATTTTTCCTGAGAGGAGATTGATCCATGCATGTCTGCCATGCATATTAACCACTGGGATTAACTTTTAAAGGGGAATGGTGCGACACCATCTTGCCATGCTCTGTTCTCAAGGTTTTTTTGTAAGCTCAGGGACATATGTAGGAGTAAACAGTATACGTATAAAAATTCATCACTGTATTCAAGATGGCTCAGGTTAGGGTTGCAGCATCACTATACATTTAAAAAATGTATATTTCATTTTTTTGTGCACATGTGTTTGCAGCCACTAGTTTTGTGTTAGGAAATCGGACTATGGTGAAAGATTTATAATGTTAACAGAAAAATTGTGACCTTAGTGTTATGCCTTTTAGCACAGAATTGCAGCAACAGAAGTAGAAAATTCCCAACTACAGTCTGTTTGGCTTTGGCACTTCAGCAGAGAAATGACCTCAAAGAAGCCCCTGGCTAAGATGGATGTAGGCACCACAGATGTAAAATCTGCACCTGTTGAAAATGCAGTCCACATGGACGTGTGTTGCTGATACAGTGGTTAGCAGTCAACTTTTTTACTTTATACTGCTCGTAAACTTTAGAACAAATGCCTTGGATGGAAGATTTCCAACTTTCCAAGTTAGTTGTAATTTTCAAAAGTAACATTTTTATTGATGCAATAATTCACTTAAGCCATCATTAGAATATTTTTGCCTGTCCAAGCTTTTGAGTGTGAATATGGAGCCAAATGAGTGTATTGAAGGACATAGACTCTGCAATTTTTCTGTCCATCTGAAAAATCTGCAAGACAGTTCTTTGTATTCACATCTAGGAAAATTTTTGAATTAGTCACTGTCCTCCACATGAATCAGAACATTTTGATCCATCATTCAATATGACTCTGTATCTCAAGAATGACTTAAAAAAAAGAAGAGAGATACTTGTCAATTGGAAATGCTGACTTGATCCTGGAATAGTTTTTCAGAACCACAGTCTCCTTTAAAAAATATTTCTGAATCACACAACACTACTGCAGATAGAATAATATCATAAACTAGTGGAATTTAAAAGTTTTATGAGATGAATTCCAGAATAGGCTGCACGCAAAACGGAATGAACATTAGCAGTGCTTTCTTGAGCTGGAATACCAAGAAAACAGCCTAGTCAGAAAAAGCTATGGGTACTACCAAGCAGCAAGAGTGAGCAAGTTACATCTGCAGAGATGGAGAGGGATGGAGCCATGGTCTGTTGCCTCCAGCAGTGCTGTATGAGAAATGCACACAAACTCAGCAGCCGTGGCATGGATGCACACAGGAGTTCTGCAAGGATCTCCTGTTACACTCAAAGGAAGAGTAATAGCTCAATGGGAAAGGGCCAGGTAAAGGCCTGCAGAAATCTTCTGAAAGTGCAAAGGCTCCATTCCCCTTCTCAGTTACTATGAATAGATTATCCAGGGGTGGCCAGAAATTACCAGAAATTGTAGACACTCAAGCTGGCCTTGGAAATGCCACCCAGTCTTCTCATGGAGCTTAGCTATGTCTTTTGTAGTGCAGGTCAGTTGCTAAGCAGGACTACATGCCACCTTGGATGGCCACCTCACCGCCTTTCTTCCTCACACCAGCCATAGGCATTTCATACCTAATTTTAAAAAGTTTTTATTGTTCCAAAATCTTGCCTTAACTGAAATTTCAAACCTCAGGATTACCTTAGTTGAAAACTTGCTCTAAAGCTGGAGCAAATAATGTTCAATTTATGATTTATTTTATCCATTTTGAGGGGAGGAAAAGTTTTGTTAGGGGTAGGATTCCCAGAAACCAGTGGGGGGGGGGGAGGGGGAAAGAATGGACAAAATCCCTCAAAAACTGTCAGAAAATGAGTCATGAAACTGAACTGAATGTGGATGACTGCTCACTGAGTGTCTTTGTCTGGTATCAAACACTCCTCCTTCCTCCACTCCTCACCCCCCTTTTCATTTTAAGCTTGTGTAGTTATTCCAGTTATGGTATTAGCAATACTCCTGATATATTCCAGTGTCAACAAGATCAAAATCACCCTGGGAAACTTTTCTTTATGTGTCGTTTCAACACCAACAAGGCTGTCAGGTAACAGAGGCTGCCCATGAGCAGCCTGCCTTATGCAGAGCACTTAAAAACCTGAGGCTTAGGAGTGAAAGATCATCGCTTTTTTGTGTGTCTACTGTTCAATTGCTTAACCACATCATTTTATATGGAGTTTTGTCTGTTTTGCTGGATGAAAGCCTTAGCTGCCAAAACTGTTGGTATTGAATTTTTAGCAGTCATGCTACTGTTCTCACCCTGTTGTATGATAACAAGCATTAGGATAGGATAAACATGCAGGCCAAGGTTTTCCTCATTCCATTATTTAAAGACTTGTAGTCCTGGAGGATTCACTGTGGTCATCCTGTCCCCAGTCTCTGGAGGGTTTCTGTATTTTAAAATGTAAGTCACTGGATCAGAATTTTTCCAATAGAGATAGGTTCTCCTTGCCCCAGTATACAGAACTGCAGGTTCATGTACACATTTGGTATTTGGCCTGTTTGGGCCTTGAATCCAAGGATTAGTTGAGAAATGGTATATGGACATTCCTTCCTTCTCACAACTTCTACACAGGAGTGATTTCATTTTATGTGAAAGTGATGTTGCCATAAAACATTTCACAATAGCCTAAGGGCTAGAAAACTCAAACCAACACCTGAGAAACCTGAAATCAAATTTTGCCTGAGGTGTGCCACTGCATTTTGACTCCTGGGAAAGTGCATTTTGGGAAGTACCATAGTCTGCTGATATGCAGTTGAGTATATTTTGAGAAGTCTAAGGCCCCCCTTCTTTTGGGGTTCTGACTGGGCTTAGATGTGAGTAAGATGCCAAGTTGCTCAAATAAGGGCAGTTCTGGGCATGACAAAGGTAAAGCTGTAGGTATTGTGAGGGGTTATGGGAAAGGGAGGTGCCTTCTGAGTTCAGACATGTTCCTGGTGGGTGGCAGCTGGGCAGGGATTACAATTTTGGATCAAAATGCATTAATTTTCCTCATCTCAATTCTGTAGTAGGTGTGTGTATCTTTTATTAGAGCTAGCCTCTGTAGGTCTTTATCAAGATAGCTTGTAACTGCCTTGACTGGAGAGGCAAAGACATTGAAAACTTTGATTCGGCAAGACCCTGTGCAAACCAAGTCCCCTTTTGATACCCTTTGCAGTATCAGATACCTTGAAAACTGAGCTGAACCATGAACAGCAGTCTATGTCAATGCTGCTCTGTACTATTCTTCCAGTTATACTGCATTATTAAATGTTCATGTGTTTTATACAAAATATCAGACTATGAGAACTTGTCTCATTAATAGGACTTAAATACCCACTCCTTAAGGCTTATGTAGGATGGGCTTTTTGTCACTCTGCTTCTCTACCTAAGCATTGCTTGGTAAACCCTCAATGATAGTGTATCATTGTGATAGCTCTAATAGTGTAAAATATAAAAGCAAAACCAGATACATGGGGTGAAAAGGCAGCTCTTATTGAGCTAAGACAGTTGAAAAAATAGACAAGCTTTCCTCAAGGTTTGAAATAAAAGTCAATCTCTATATTTTATTCCATCTGAGTGTCTTAAGTTGGGTCTGATTCAGTTCTATGTGAAGGAGTCCTTTCTCCCACTTGCACTTGGAAGGGGAAGCTATACAACAGCTGAAACTGAACCTCTAACACAGGTGACACTCACCCCTGGCATCAAGTTGTAAGAGAAGGGTGTAGAGAAGAACCTGCCTCACTACTTTTATGAAACTCTAGTTGCTTCCATCAGCCTTCCCAATTTCTGCAGCAAATACAAATTTTTAGGTAGCAAAGAAGCCAAGCCAAGCCCAGCCCAATATTTTACACTAATCAGTACAGACTCTTTTCTCTAGAGGATGATTCAAATTATTAGCTCCTCTGAATTGCGTCTCAGATGTTTTCTTTTTGTTACAATAAGCTTAGGAATATTAGTGTCACCAAGCTACAGTTAGCCTTTATTAATTAGCCTAATTTGTAAATCCCTGCATGATTTACAAAAACATAAAACCTCCAATTTTAGTGCCTAAGTGCTGAATCAGTATCTCTGGAGGCCTTCAACTCTAAATTTCACAAGCATAGACAACACTGGTAAAGTGTCTGGTGTTTGACCTTGTTCCATTTGCATTTTTATTTTTTTAAAAAAACCAAACAGATGTATTTTTCCATTTTTTTTTTTTTTATAAAGAGGTAATAACAGCAATAGTTTTATCTCTGCAGGTGGGGGAATGATCACACCCTGTAAAAATAAAGGACTTACCATTCTTTGGCTTCCACTTTATACAAGTGTGTGGTCTGAGGTCCCAGAGCTGCAGGGATGTTCTGAACTTTTTAGTGA